CTCCCTAACCCCCCCACCACCCCACTTACTCAAATGTCCTCCCTGACAGACCGGTGCGCGAGGGAGCACCCTCGTCATCTTCCGGCTCCGGCATCAGTAGCGCGAGGGAGCTGAAGAGAAGGCACACAGAGAGTGCTCCCTCGCGCGCCGGCCGGGTGTCAGTAGGGCCAGCCTCTGGGGGGCCCTGAAGTGACCGGCTGCTGGGCCCCCCAGGAGAAGAGGCTGGCCCTGTGGGTATGCACCCAGTGAATGTGGGGCCCGGACGACCTGAGCAGTCCGGGCCCCCCAGGACCGCCGGGCCCATGACAACCGTTGCGGTTGTCATGCCCTGATGGCGGCCCTGGCAGTGACCCTAGGGGTAGCAGGTATGGGCAAGGCATAAGCAGTATGGATATACCCCCTTCTACCTTCATTTTCCTGGTTAATCCTGCCTTCTCTGATTTGGAGGCATTCCTCCTCTTCATTCAGCAGTTCTCTGCCCGGTGTTTATTCTCCCTTCTGGGGGAGTACAGGGCTTCCCTGGTGATCTAGGGTTCCCCCTGTCCCTATTCGCAGCATTTTCGCCCCATTTCTGGCGGTCTGCAGAGGTTGGGAGACCTGGGGTCTCCTTGCTGGCTTGGCATCCGGTTTTCACCATTGCGCATGCGCGAACAGTGCGTTCACGTCATGCCGTTTTCGTGCATGCGCGGAAGTGCTGGTTGCGCATGCGCGGTACGTCGTGGTTCCAATGACGTCATTCAGTAGTTTGGGCGCCCTTTTTAAAGCACCAATACTGAAATTTAACTTTCCAACACAGTCCCTTGCTAACTTAAAGCGGTACAGTGTGGTCTTCACCCAGTTTTGTGGTGCAGACTGAAGGTAAGTCTTTTAAAGGCACAGTTGGTCTGCTTTTTGTTTTTTATTCAGTTGATGCTTTTTTAACCTTATTTTTAAGCCTTATAGTATTTTATGGGTTTAATTTTTATAGATGAAATAATCTGAGATCATGGATTCAGACTCATCAGGTCAAAGTAAAAGGTCACTATCTAAATCTCAGGGGTAAGCCATTTCCTATATTTTTTCTTCAATTTTTCTTCTAAACAAAAGAGTGCTGGCTAATATTTTTCCCTTATTATAGTAGTACTAAAGGGAAAAAGACAACTGGAACATCCAAAGGAAAGTCTCCAGCAAGGTCCCTATGCAAAGCAGGTGACAAGAGGGCCCTGGAGGGGACTCGCCTATGCTCAGATTGCCTACAAGCCACAGGATGTCACGCATCATCCACCCCAGGTTTGATGCAAATTATTCAGAATGCTGTATCCCAAGGCATTAAAGAGGCTGGCAGAGCCCACAAAATACCTAGATATCCAGATCCTTCCGACTACTCCCAATACGACTGTTCGGATGTGTCTATGGAGGAGACATACAGGGAGAGGTCATCTTCCTCGGATGAGGAAAAACAGCACGCTCCTGACACTTTGGACCCAACCGAAGTGGATCACTTAATTTCCAGGGTCCGCAAGTCTCTGAGCATGAAGGAACCTTCAAGAGAAGAGCCTTCTACATCCAGTCGATACTTTTCTGACCTCAGAAAAAAGAGGGTTACTTTCCCGGTTCATGAGGCGATTAAGGGCATCATTATGGAAGAATGGTCCAAAACGGAGAGGAAACTTCCCAATCAGGGGAGAATTTCTCGCCTTTACCCTTTTGACAAAAAGGACGCAGGCCACTGGGAGTCAGCCCCTAAAGTGGATGAAGCGGTGGTAAAACTGGCCAAACGCACCTGAATGCCAGTGGATAATGCAGGATCTCTAAGACTCCATGGATAAGAAGATGGACTCTAACCTGTCCAGGGCCTATGTGGCAGCAGACACCCCACGGTAGCCCTTACCTCGGTCTCCAGAGCTTTGAAGACCTGGCTGGAAGGCTTGGAGGAGGATACAAAGAGATCTAACCTCATGGGCAGTCTACAAGACCTTAAGCTGGCCGTAGATTTCACTACTGAAGCCTCAGTGGATATGGTCAAAGCAGTGGCCAGGAACATGGCATTTTCCATCTCAGCTAGAAGGGCTTTGTGGCTCAGATCCTGGTCAGCAGATGCTTCATCTAAGAATAGCCTCTGCTCTTTACCATTCTATGGAGACCTGCTCTTTGGTAAGAACCTGGATGATTGCATTAAGAAAGCAGCAGATAGCAAGAATGCTTTTTTACCTCAAGATTATAGGCCTAAGAGATCTTTTCGACCCAAAAGACCTTCAGATCAATCTTCCTTTTGGGACTTCAAACCTACAGACCAGGTAGAGAATATGGAAGATCCCAGCCTTGGAGAGAGGGACAGTCTTCAGTCAGGGGAGGAAGATCCAGAGGCTCTGCATTCAGCAGGAACACGAGAGCTTTATGATGGGTTGATCTCCCAGCCTGGAGGGGTAGGAGCATGCCTCTTCCTATTCCAAAAGAGATGGGAATCTTCTACCAAAGACAAGTGGGTGCTGGACATCATCAGAAGAGGATATATTCTGGAATTCAGAGATGCCCCACCTCATCGCAGTTTTCAAATTACAAGATGGCCAGGAGACAGAGACAAGAGATTGGCTCTTCTGGAGTTTATTTCTTCCCTACAGCAA